TTTGTCCAGCCGATAAGTAGAAGACCCAAGGAACGGTCATGATTAACCTGGCGCAGGTGTGTCATGTAGAAGTATACTCTAGAAAGACTGTCCTCTGCCGAAGGTCAGATGTTGACACAGGATCGGGAACACTGAAAGCACTGTCTGACGCGTCTGTCTCCTCAGACTGAAAACGGAAACGGTCATGGACGATGAAGATGAAGCCCGGGAACACAGTGCATGAAATTTCAGAATATCGCGGCCTTTTCAGCTGCATTGTTTTAGGTTTTGTGCGATTTAAATTCTGGTAAATTCCGCAGAACTGTTCGACTAATTTAAGGCAACAAAACGAAAAAAGCGGGTCCTCTTGATCTGCAACCCTGGCGAGTGGGAAGGGTGTATCAAGGAATCTTGCTCATTTAATCGCAAAATTTGGTAGCCGAAGATAAAGTATTTCGTGCGTTGGAAGTGATGCTGAAGCACGGCATAAAATGCAGTTTATTAATACACAACGCAAAGAATAATACACAGTCATCTGATTGACGAATACTAACGTTTAAGCCTGTGTCTTATGAGCCTTCTTCAAAATTGGACATTGGTAAAGTTTCAGAATTTTTTCCTGTTGTGGGTAGGTTTACTAGACAGGCCTTCAGTCAGACATCTGAGTGACCATATTATTTTTTGCGTTATGCTTTATTTAGCAGTGTTTTGTGCTGTTTATCAATAGACATTGAAAGATCATTAAACAAATGGACAATTTGCCAAAAACATTTTGCATCCGCCTTAGAAACCAAAGGCCTGAAACAGAACGAAATAAAAGTTAAAGTATATATTAACAAGGAAGCATTAGTAAGGTATAATTTGTACGAAGGTATTACACGGCATAAAACTTCAAACATCAGAATGTACAGGAAAACCATAAAAATTATTACAAAAATGCGTAAAACTTATTTAGTCTTCCGGAAAATGAATGCGACATAAAGACCTAAAGAAAAATGCATTTAACTTTTTGACAGATTTAGGTTATAATTTCAAGCAAATAAATGTACAAAGAAAAATCAGCGTAGCATATTATCAGTCTCTAAAGCCTTGAGATGGACTCCTTAAAACTCAAAATATTCTATGATTACATTTATCATACAGTTCAGGTACATTCGTAGATAGACGTTTAAGTTATTTAATGCAGAGGCTAGCCAGGAGCACGGCTCATTCACCCTTAAACACAAAAAGATATGTGATAGCCGATAATTTGAAAATAGCTTAAATTTCAAGTCACTGTAGTAGAACAAAATAATATAGTAAATCATACAAACTGAATCCACTATAGATTAATACAGCAATTTGTTACAGTTCTGCTGAAAACAACAATTCTGGAATGAACCGGTATTAATCTTCAAGAAAGTGATCTATTGCTAAACTAGTCATTTATTCAAGACCTGCTAAAATCCGTTAACGGTGGCTTGCTGAAATACTCCAAGTAAACAGTCTTTACCTAAAACTTCAGGGTAAACCAGACTGAACTCCACTGGGCAAATTACCCCATAGCGTTGCTCTCCATAAATCTATCCTTCGCGATGGCACCGCAAGCAACGTCCAAAGATGACTCATGCCAGGGTGAAGTGTAATGGAGGATACTTTCTTTAGCCGTGAAGATGATGGGATAATGCAGTAATGGTTGACAAATAACGTCCATAAGACAAATCTGTTTAGGACAAGGATATCTTAGCAACAAGTCCGGTCGACACGCCTGGGAGCCATCATTCGCATTAATTCTGAAGGAAAATATGGCAAGAGTTTTTCTTGTGGTTAACTCCTTGAAAGGAAGATAACGCATGACCAAGACAGAAGCGCAGGACAGGTGAAACAGGGAAAATGATAGTAAAATGTGGGTACTGGACTTACAAAATTCCAGGAAATTTTGTTCCTATAGATAATATAAGGATACTGTCATATCTCTGAATGGAGAACGACACTTATCTTTGCCCTTTTTATGTCATAGTCGAAATCAACGCTTTCAGTCGGTAATTTTGTTATTTCACTATTACTGATAGAGCAGACAGGTACTTGCCATAGAAGCCTGTTATAGTTCCCATTTAATACAATGGAAAATTCATCATAAACCAAAGAACAGAAAAACTGGATGAAATAGAAAAGAAAAAAGAAGAATGAGTACAATGAAATGATAACGATATGAATAAGAAACTGGAGAAGAACAAAGATTCAAAGACGCAAAATTAAAAAAAGATGACAGCGGTGAGTAACGGAAAAAAAATGAAGAGAAGAATAAACAGAGAAAGAACATTAAACATGAGCAGCATGACAGGGGTAAATGTTTCATATGCTGAGGTTTCAGTCAGTGAGACGGTTTCAATTATTCTCATCCTGTTGGGTAGCGGAAGCAGTAGCGTCAGACTGTCTTCATCGTTCGTGATCCTGTGCCAGCGTTGGAGTCGGGGCAGAAGAAGTTCCGAGACAAAAGCAGAGTCAATCCAGGCATTTGCTCCTGGTTATTCTTGGCCTCTCCCAGGATCTTTGGTTGGTTACTTGTGCAGATAGTAGCTGTTTCACCTTTCCTTCTGGAAGCCTTCGTGAAACGCGCCCCAATCATCGCAGCTGTAATAACTTTTCAATCTGGAGAAGAAGTGGTTGTACAGAACGACTTTCGAGTATGTGAATCGGCATTCTATCCAGAAGCGTGAGTCCAGCGTCGAGGATTTATTACAAACTAAACTGCCTGTAAATGCGCTCCCTTTGTCATCTGACAACATGTTTTATCACGTTCTTCCTCGTATCTCCAAATGCATGAATTACAGTAGTTCGTGCTTAAACACAATTGAGCCACGTGAG